TAATGATATTAGAGACGGAATTAATGATGGAATTACGTTAGCTACGTGATCTTTAGTGACAGAATTCCGTTACAAATATACTATTTTTTGTAGTGTTTATACCACTATTTTTTTTATCCACAAGATGGAGGCATTGCATTTTGGCTTCCGTAAATGACAATGTTGAACTTAACAAATACACTATAAATTATCTTCACAATATCAAGAGAACGTTCTTTTGAAAGATTAATAAAATAAAAAATAAAAAAAAATGATTAAACTCGGATTATAGAAGTCTTTCAAAAAATGAAAAGATCGTTTTCAAAAATAGAATAATGCCGCTTAATTGCAACAAACAAGTGGTATTCTTTAGTAAAAGGCGAAAAAATAGTTCACTATGTGCTTACTTTACAGCTTCATACAACCATTTCGATCCCTCAACCCTCAGTACCCACAATCTATCCTTTAAGCCAATAGTTTATGTTTGTCCTACAACAAAAAAAAATATAAAAATAATCACAAGTTATAACACTATGATTGGTAGGAGCCGCGCGAACGCAGGCCCCGCTGCCACAAATTATAACGCAGGCTCGACCACTTTAGGCCGACCTTAGGGGAGTTCCCCTCCGGCTTTGGAGTGCAATGGAGGTTACGACCCTAGGCCATTGACCTTATTGATCGCCATTGACCCCGTCCAGGTAAGTACGTATCTCCATACTTTCTTTTGGTTATATACTTTGCTTTCCTATATAGGTTAGGTTTCTCTGTCGATGTGGGATAACAAAATAAATATCTTGTACCTGAATAAAAAACTTTTTAATATTTTTTAGTTTTTAATACATACAAATTAATTTTAACATATTGTTTATTTTCATTTTTTAAGAACTTTATTTAAATTAACAAATTCTTTCTTCTTTTTTTTTTTTATAAATAAAATTTTAAGATTTAATTAAATACTTATCAAAACAAAGTTGTTAAAATATGTTTATTTATATTTTTGTTGTCTACACAATCAAATAAACTACATCAAAGAAATTGTAAAGACTTTACTGAGAATGCATTGATAAAATTTGATTTCATGATTTTATAATTCACACCTTATCACACCAATTGAATAATGTCTATAGTAAAATAAAAAAAAATAAAAAAAAAAACCCATAATAGATAAAATATATATATATATATACAATTCCAAAAATATAATAGAAAACAAATTACATCTCATCAAAAATAAAACTGGAATAAGAAAACAAGACAAAGTCTCTTAATATATATGTTGTACAGTAGAATACTACAATTTTGTGAACATCATGTCCTAAAAAGGATCATTCACTTATATCAAATTATCGGCCATGCAATCCGCAAACATATCATCTTCTGGAAGCTCCGTCCGTCCAAGCATTGGGTTAGGGCTGGGGTTGCACCTCATCATCATCGTCAGTATTTACAATATTTGAAGTTTGCATGTTAGGATCAGCCACTGTCGTCGTCATCGTCGGTAGTTGGACTGATTGAGGGCACTGATGGCTATTGGCAGCAGCCGCAACAGCATTCTGATCACCCCAAAGATCATTTAATAGCTTCTCGAAAACTTCAGAATCAATTATCGGTGAATCATCATCCAAAAAATCATCCAAAGTAACGGCCTCTCCTTGGTAAGCAGCTAGCGGCAACTGCATCGGACAGGATGGCTGATCCAACGATGCATAATTAATATTCTTCTGCACATTAGAAGAATCAGCAGTCGGGAGTTGGACTTGGAGTTGGGTGCAGTCGTCTTTGGTGTAGGACGGAGAAGCATCCGACCAAACATGACAAGGTGCCATCGGACAACTACTGTAAGGATGCAATATGCTTTGATTCATTGAATTCTGTTGCAGGGGCATCGTACTAGTAATAGTACTGCAAGGTCCTCCATTTACACCGATTTTCATTACCGAAAGAGTTTGCTCGCCAATCGAAGAAATTGAATAGGCATTCCTATTTTCTTCTTGTTGGAACGCACGCTGAGGCTGAGGCTCAATCTGAATCATCTCCGAAGACAGTACCCTCTCAAAGTGATTGTGCTTCTTTTTAATAGCTTCTTTTCCGGCCTTTAATTTGAGGCGGTATTTCTGCAAATGGCTCGAGATATGTTGCCTTGTCAACCCTGGTATATTCATGGCCTTCTCTATTAACTTTGGCGTAGCTTCTGAAAACAAAAAATAAATAGAAGAAATGAAAACCTAGTTCGTTAGTTAAATGAGATTTAATAATTAAGATGAACATGAACATGAATATGAATGTAAATGTACCGTCGATTCCTCCCAGCTGTTGTATTGCTTCACAGAACTTGCTGTGGAGCTCGTCATTCCATAACCGTTTCTCCCTCTTGGACGAAGACTCTGCGTACGGTATTTCTTCATTACTACTTAATTCTATGTCATTTCTTTTTCTCTTGGACGACGACGGTGGCGAGGGACCTGCATGGACGAATTCATGTCCATGCTGCTCTTCAGTCACCAATTTGGGCTGTTGCTGCTGCTGATTTTGTTTCCCGATCGCATATTGCCACAAGTATCTCGCTTGATTCTCCTCGATTGGCTTCGGGTAGTAAAATGAACAAATACCATCCACCATTTGGATCACCTTGCTTTCTGACCCATTGACGGACATCACTGCATATATATACATAAATCAGTTGCATATGCAGTCCGACATATCAAAATTTAATTAGGAGGTGATTGTATTAATTGAAATAAATAATTGAGGAGACGATACTTACTTATTACTCTAATATTCATCACAGTTGCGAGGTATGCGAGAAAATTGCTAACATTGAGGCCAGGAAAGTCGGCGTCGCATATTATCAAGTCGAAATCTTTTTCTTTCTCCAGCCAATTTAACATCCCTTCCATTGAACTACACATATTCACTGCACACATTCAACAGTTATTTTCACTGTCGAACTGGAAATCGAAAAACTTAAACAAAAAAATATTACTCCCTCCACCGTCCAATTTTGTTCTCATTTCCTTTGTAAATCCCACATCGAGATGTGGGATTTACAAAGGAAATGAGAACAAAATTGGATGCAGAAGGAATTTAGTAGGATTTACAATGGAAACAAAATTGGACGAGGAAGGGAGGTTGTACACCAACAATGATGTATTCTCACCTGAATAGTCGTATTTGAGAAGATAATTTGACAGAGCATTCAAGGCAGTCAGATCCGTATCTACAATTAGAACTTTCACTCGAAAGGGAATACAGAAATCCATACCCATATTTTGTGTTTGAGGTCTTGGTGAAAAATAAATTCAAGTTTGTGTTTGAGGTCTTGGTGAAAAACAAATTCAAGTTATACAAGGAAGATGGTTATATATATTAATGAGGATGCAATCTTATCGCAATCTTATTGTTATTTTTTGATAATTACGGTAGTATTTTTTAAGCTCATTACTACTCCCTCATCCTAAAATATATTTGCACGGTTGTTTAGGTAATTGTCTTTTTTGACAAATTTTTCCTTAATTGTATTGTAAACATTAAAAGTAATGAAGGGTAAAAATGTAAAATTTGTGTTTAAAAAATGAAAGTAAAAATGTAAAATTTGTGTTTAAAAAATGAAATATATGACAATAGTCGTTGGAAGTCTAATATAAAAAAAAATAGGACATTAGTTTGTGGATGGAGAAAGGATTATTTTTCAAAATGGAATCTCCTTTTAATTTCATTCATAGAAGGGGAAGCGGTTTCAATTAAATTAAGGTGCTGTTTGTTTTGGTTATTGATTTTAATTCCCAAAACTTGCATTTAGCCTTAATATCTTAATTGTTAATATGTTTTTGGATTCCTTATTATTAATTAATTTGAGTTTTATTCTACTATTATTTCAGCTAATTAAATTGTATTTTAAATTCTGGTATAAATTTGCAATATTCATCTCCTAACTAAAGTACTCCTAAAATTGTACTACAATATTAGGACGGTTGTTTTGACTGGTGGTCTGACGGCAAGATAAGAAAAGAGATATGTGTGTTTATTTTGTAAAATAATTTGAAAATTTTTTTTTATAACATTACGAGAAATTGTATATAAAATATAAAACTAATAAATGTTTAATATATTAATAATTATATAATTTTAGATTTAATTTATTTTCTATCATATTTTGGAAATTATATATATATATATATGTATTTATTTCAATCAATTATGTAGTTTTTTATGTATAATTAAGTTTATTTACAATGAATTTTATTTGATTTTACTACTTTATTATTGAATTAAAAATATCAATTGAATTGGTGTGATAAAATGACAATAAAATTATGAATTTGAATTTTATCAAGCATTCTCAATAAACTGTGCTATATAATACTCCACTTATTTAGTGTAGCTCAAATTTGTCCGACATTGTTCACTTTATTTTTTTATGGCATTAATTTTTTATAAATTTTTTTAAAAAATTACAATATATACATTAACCCGCTATATGTAATACATATATTTTATTCGATTTACTTAAACAAATTAATTATTCAAAATAAATATATAATTTTTTATACTATTAATATAATTCTTCATGACATCAAAAAAACATCTATTATAAAACACAAAGCAAACAAACCAAAAAGAAATATATATTAGAGTCGGACAAAGATAATATCATTATTCTTTAATCGGAATGTCCAAGTAAAATGACATAATTAGCTCAGAAGAAAGAAATATTATTTTGCATTATACAATAATAAAACATATACTATATCTCGATTAATATAAAATAAGCTATATATTAATACTAAAATACTCTTAACGTTTATAATAAATTACAAATATAAAATTCATTTATAAATGATAAAAACATAAAAATAAATAAAAATAAAAAAAATAAAAAAATTCTACTAATAAATAAAATATTATTATATTAAATTTTAATATAGTAAAACCTCTTCACAAAATGGCTTTTGAAGTAGTTGGAGGGAGTGTATATTTTCAATTTTTAATGACCAATCAATAATGGTCACGACAAAAGTCTCCTACAATAGTTTGTACAGTTCCTTCATTAGTTTCTGGCAAGCTTCTTCCTCGACTAAATGGTCGGGCAGATCAGAAAGAATGTCACTGCTGTAAGGGTACATGCTTTGATTCATTGAATTCTGCTGCACCTCCATCTGCATCGTAGTATTCTGTTCGACTAATTGGGTACTGGCAGCAGCAGCAACAGCGTTCTCATCATCCGAAGGATCATTTAATAGCTCCTTGATCATTTCTCCGACATCAGAATCATTGACTCTATTGCCCGCTGTCGCTGAATCATCACTAAATATTTCATCCAAAGTAACAGCTTCTGCTTCGTAAGCTGCTGGTGGCAACTGCACCACCGGACAGGATGGCTGATCCGATGATACATTATCAGCGGTCGGGAGTTGGAGTCGGGGGCAGTCGTCTTTGGTGTAGGACGGAGAAGCATCCGACCAAACATTACAAGGGGCCATCTGACTACTGTAAGGATACAATATCCTTTGATTCATTGAATTCTGCTGCATCGGCATCGTAGTAGTCGTAGTACTGCAAGGTCGCCCATCTAAGCCGATTTTAGTTACCGAAAGAATATTCTCCGAAATTGAATAGGCATTCCTATTTTCTTCTTGTTGGAACGCACGCTGAGGCTGAGGCTGAATCTGAATCATCTCGGAAGACAGTACTCTCTCAAAGTGATTGTGCTTCTTTTTAGTAGCTTCTTTTCCGGCCTTTAATTTGAGGCGGTATTTCTGCAAATGGCTCGAGATATGTTGCCTTGTCAACCCTGGTATATTCATGGCCTTCTCTATTAACTTTGGCGTAGCTTCTGAAAGCAAAAAATAAATAGAAGAAACGAAAACCTAGTTCGTTAGTTAAATGAGATTTAATAATTAAGATGAACATGAACATGAATATGAATGTAAATGTACCGTCGATTCCTCCCAGCTGTTGTATTGCTTCACAGAACTTGCTGTGGAGCTCGTCATTCCATAACCGTTTCTCCCTCTTGGACGAAGACTCTGCGTACGGTATTTCTTCATTACTACTTAATTCTCTGTCATTTCTTTTTCTCTTGGACGACGACGACGGCGAGGGACCTGCATGGACGAATTCATGTCCATGCTGCTCTTCAGTCACCAATTTGGGCTGTTGCTGCTGCTGATTTTGTTTCCCGATCGCATACTGCCACAAGTATCTCGCTTGATTCTCCTCGATTGGCTTCGGGTAGTAAAATGAACAAATACCATCCACCATTTGGATCACCTTGCTTTCTGACCCATTGACGGACATCACTGCATATATGCATAAATCAGTTGAATATGCAGTCCTACATATCAAAATTTAATTAGGAGGTGATTGTATTAATTGAAATAAATAATTGAGGAGACGATACTTACTTATTACTCTAAGATTCATCACAGTTGCGACGTAGGCGAGAAATTTGCTAACGTCGAGACCAGGAAGGTCGGCGTCGCATATTATCAAGTCGAAATCTTTTTCATTCTTCAGCCGTTGCAACATCCCTTGCATTGAACTACACGGGCACACTGGACACATCCAACAATTATATCCACAGTCAGAAATCGAAATCCAAAAAACATAAACAAAACAATATTACTCCCTGCGCCATCCAATTCTATTTCTATTTCCTTTGAGATCCCATATTCTATATGAAATCTATCAAAGAAATGAAAATAGAAATGGATGATAGAGAAAGAAATAAAATACATCAAGAATAATGCATTGTCACCTAAATAGTTATTCTTGAGAAGATAACTGGTCAGAACATCCAAGGCAGTAGGATCCATGTCTACAACTAGGACTTTCACTGGGAAAGGGATACGGTAATCCATAATCATATTTTGTATTTCAAATCTTCGTTAAGAACAAATTCAGGTTACGTTTATTCCACAATCACCAATTTGTATTAATGATGAAGTACGTTCAAATGTAAAAGCACTCTCATTCTCTGTGTATATATAGATACTAAAAAAACTAATTCAGTAAATATTTGTATAGCGTGAATCGAAATTGAAACGGTAACTTAACAACCCTTAGTTATTGTTTCTAGATAGATTATGGTTGAATTATGATGTTTTAAAAATAACAATAAGAAAACCCTATAAACCTTAATTTGGATTAGTAACTAACTAACTAACTAACTAATTCCCTTCGTGCTCATTCCATTAATGCTGCATACGCAGGACACAACAATATTACTATGCATGGTGGCCAAAAAAGACGAACCGAACCGTCGAACTGTTAAATAAACTGAATCGAATCGAATTTTTGGTTAAACGAGCAAATTTGGTCCGAATACAAATACAGCATATTTGATATTCGTTCGGTTCGGTTCAGTTTCGGTTTTTTTTTTCTTCGGTTCGATTAACCGAACTGAATATATTTATATTTAAAATTTATATTAATAATTATATTTGGTTCAGTTTTGGTTCGGTTTTCGATTCGAATATTTGAAATATTTGCAATTATTTTTATTTAATTAAAATTTTAATAATTTTTTAATATATTTTTTTATTAATTTCGATTCGGTTTGAATCATTTGCAAATATTGTAAATATTTTCGGTTAACCAAAATTTTCGGTTGAAATACGGTTCACGATTTCAAATATTTGTTTGGTTTGATTCGGTTCGAATATCCAATGCCTGCTAGCAAATAACGGAACCATACTCACCACTATACGAATACAATTTAACGAATACAAGACATACAATTATGCCTCGAAATATTTGTTATAGCTACACACATGTGTTAGCATATGTATATATAAAAATTAAATAAATAAATAAACATGCAATTAATAGTATCTAATTTGTATAATAATTCTCTCAGCTCTAGAAGCAGCTCGTAGGCTTGACAACTCCGGCCGACGTTCCTCCGGCGTTGGCGCAAGAAGCCGAAGCCGTAGACGCCGCCCGCTGCTTATTGTCGTAAGAAAGGTTCACTTCCTCCATCATTATCCCGCTACAAGGCTTCGCTTTGCTGCAATCGAATTTCACGGCGACTTGAGTCGCCGATGTCCCATGTATGTCCTCGTAATGTACCCCGTGGACTTGCACACCGGATGCCTGTAAGAATACCAGAATCGATAATTAGACATGAACAATTCGGATGGGATGACGACAAAGCATATGTATGTCTTCGTTCCCGTTTGTATATATCTTACCTCATTCGGACAATTTTGGTGGTTTGGGCAATAATTCTGGTCGATGATAATAGGGTTTTCGACATTGGCCATGGTCACATGTTGGTACACAATGTCCTTGACGAATCCATTGCTCGGCCTCGCCCATGTCTTGATCCTTAAACCGTTTGTAGTCCCCGTGAATGTGACAGCTTTAACGGTCACATTTTTAACTCCGGCCTCATTTTGCGTCCACCCTAAACTTCCGATGCTACAAGAAAATAATAAATAGTTGATTGAGTATAGTACATACGTATTCGATAAATAACTTATATTATTACAAAATCATCCAATTTTTGCGCATTGATGTATGTATGCATATAATTATACCTTACACCGTGGCCCGGGCCGCACGCTATTTTCTCGATCCACAAGTTGGAGGTACCAGGACCGATGGAAATGCAATCGTCCCCGGTGCCAATGTGAGCGTTGGTAATTGTAACTCCCGATGAATGCTCCACATGAATTCCGTCGGTGTTTGGGCTACTCCTAGGAGCTAAGATCTTCACATTCGCAAGCTTCGCATTTTGGCTTCCGTAAATGACAATATGGAACATTTGGCTATTCATCGAGATCAATCCGTTGATCACTATATCTTTTGAGTTATAAAACGCCAACGACTACAAATTTGACAATAATATATCATTATTAACAATCCATCGATCACTATACTAGCATAACCATGACAAACTTAGGTCGTGTTCTTTTGTGGATTTTACTCATATTTTTACTGTTCAAATTCTTTTTTTCTTTTCAAAAATTTCAAATCATATATTATACTACAAATTTATTTTACATTTAAAACTATCATATCAATATATATTTATATTGCATCAAACAACTATTTAAATTCGATTTTTCACTGTTCAAAAATTTAAATCCAAAAATCCTAACCCACAAACAAGCACAACCATAAACTCAAGCTTACCGTGGCTCCATTAGGGCAAGTCCGGCCCAAATTCTTGCAAGCCCACAATGCATTTCCCTTGCCATCTAGGGTTCCGCCGGAGATAGAAACTCCGGTGACCCCATCAAATCGCAACCACGTACCAAGTTTCCCAACCACATTGTAGTTTGCGGGAGCTAATAGAGTCCCGTCAATGCGAATATTTATCGCATGATTTTTGCATGACTTTCCTGAAAAATTTATTCCACGTAAAAAATATCTTCCCCGGGGAACATATACGGTGGCCGGGGCTGTGGAAGCACAAGCAACATCCCATGCTTGTAGAAATGAATTACTTGAATCTGAATTCCCATCGGATTTGGCCCCGAATGACTTCACATTGTATGTCGGATTGGCAGCAAGACCTGACAACGGCAAGTAGTATTCGAGCGCTAATACGGTGAAGGCGAAAATTTTATAAAAAGTTTTCATGATGAATTTGATTTTGATTTTTGATCTTTTTTTCTTTTTTTCTTTTTCTCTCTTAATTTTATAGAAATTGATGAAATAACTTTTTGTGTATTTTGGAATTCTTAAGGAGGGGTCGTTTTTATTTATAGGGTATGGAAATGAGAATAACTAACATTATTGTTTAAGTGTGAACATATATAAAATTAAAAATAGGTTTTGCCTAATTGTTTTGGTCACATTTACTGTGTAAATGATACACACTGTATTTTTTGGTGTTTATGTTACGTAACTTAACTCACGCAGCATATTCTTATTATTATTATTATTATTATTATTATTATTATTATTATTAGGAGTAGTAGTCAATTGTGCATGTGTGGAAATAAATTTGGTGTTACATAAGTCAGGAGCTATCTACTGTTAATATACTCCATAAAGTAACAAATAATTTAATTAGAAGGACTTTAGGAGTTAATGGAAAAAATATATATGTATAGATATGATGAATGAGGTTTGGCCAAATTAGTTCAATAGTAATATAAATGACTATACATATAATTAATATAATTTATAGTATTTCTGAGATTTCTTACAAAATTTATGTAAATTTAATAATTAGATTTGAAAGTACTTGAGTGCATGCATGCATGTATTTTCTCAATTTTAACAGTCTTCTAATATTTGCTATATGGAGTGTCTCCATCCCTGCCATCCACAATCACACACTAATACAGATGTGCATATATATATATAGAGAGAGAGAGGGGGGCAAAAACTGATACGAAACGATATTTTAATACGAACCTGACACGAAATAATTGAATTTTGGTCAAAGATTTCAACTTAATTGATTATATATATACGGGTTTACACGAATCCAGTAAACGGATCGAATTAGGTATTAATATATTTATTATATATGTAAAATATATTATTCTAATTTAATAATTAGCCCACGTATTGATTTAAATTAAATTTAATTTTAAATAATTCAACCTAATTCATTGTATAATTATATAAACCTTGAGTAACTTTTTCATATGGGATAATAGCAATTTTTTCTTCTTTTATGACGTGGAAATTCGCAGTCGCCACCCGAAAGTACAAATTGGATAAACCCCCAGTCAAACCTAATAGTTATGGCAGGTGACTTGAGACGTCGGGGGTTTAAACTCATGACCTCATGGTCACACGCCCAACCCCTGCACCATCAGGTCATCCTTACGGGACGGGATAATAGCAATATTTTATTAAATGGCAAGAGATACAATGAAATTTATCCTAAGGCACACCCAAATGGGGAAGAGTTCAAATAAATGTACCCACACTATATATTAACGACTTTAATTAGTAACGTTTACCAAAATACACCTACATACACTATTATATATTTATCTACATGCAAATGCAATGTACCACCAAAATAATTAATTAAATACCATTCAATATATCTAGTGTGAAAAAGATCCATATGGATCCAAATTGCAGAAATTCAATGATGAGTTGAATCCACGTAAAGTAGCCAACGTTATGTAATCTGCATGCATGCATATCCTAAAACAATTAAATACTCCTCTATACTTATTTGTTGGAAAATGGTGTTCGAGCAATACATCAAACACTTCAGGGTCAATTCACGGAACGTGGTTAGTTCACAGTTATAACATATTTTTCCCATGAATTAAATGCATAAATCAAAACAATAAATGAGACAAAATATTTGGTGATCTGGTTTGGTTATAAATCAACGTGCATTCAGGGATCGGAATCTAGGAGAAGGTCTACTATAATCACTCTTGATTACAAAACTAAATAACTCCAAATTAAATTCTTCAACTCAACCTCCTATCATAACCTACTTTAAAAAATACTTCCACAGGTTCCCGTTGTTACAAACGTATGCTAACAACGATCATATAGCAAAGCTACGTAGAGCCTGATTATTTCCTTCGATTGGAACTCTTTCAACTCGATCTCCGACAAACTCCTCAATAGTTTTTTTTGTCCTAAACACTCATTCACATTATAGAGAATCGAAATGGACAGAGGGTGAGAGTTTCAAACTATATTTCTCTCTCTAACAAACAATCTCAAACTCACTCACAACCATTCTGCATGTATGTCCGGTTGAGTATACAACACATATAGTATTGGTTAGAAAAATCTCACATTAATTTTTCTTTGCACCGAAATAGAAATAGGATGAAATGATTTTTCATGAATCTCGCATGCTTTGACCTTTCATAAACATTCATTTTGTCTCTTGTAAACGACTTGGTAGAATAGACAAAATGAATACAGACAAACTCACAGTAGATCTGCAGCACGATTGCAGTTGCAGTCTGTTTACAATGTTTAAGTGCTGAAAATATAAATAACTTGCTGAATGAATAGAAGCACCGTTTGTCCATACGACAAAATAATTAGAAAACTTTTTCATTCACAGTATTTACATCATAATTCAACTATATTTTTTCATTCAATATATAAGAATGTTCGAATTAATATAAAATATAATTGAACATAATTATACTACGATCCAACAAATTTTCACCACAATTGTTACAATTCATTATCTTGTATTTGAAAAAGTCCCTAATTATTTTGTATAGCTAATCCAAATCTAGCATGACCTGACCCACTCTCTATCGAAAGTATCAATCTACACTACAAACACAACAATCTCAATTAAGAGGGGTTTTTTTTTTATTTTTATTGTAGAGAGCATGCAGAAGGGTTTTTTTGTTTTTTCTGTTTGTTTTTTTTTTTTTTTCTCAATTGTTCTTTAAATTTTTTAAAAGTAAAGAATTCGCTTAAAGTATCTTATTTATAAATAAATATATTTATATGCATTTTAAAGCTTTTGTCTTTTTTGAAATAATTTATGTGACATCTTTATTGAATATACATTTTAATATGAAGTATAATTCTTAAAATATTCAAAATATATGTTAAATTAATGTTTAATCAAATATATAACTTACAATCAAATAACATCATTTTATTTATTTTTTTTATTCACACAAACACACAACTCATGCATCTAAACGAAAATTGAACATCTAACTTCAAGCATATCAAGAAAAAACCAGCTCACACTTTGAATGTACATGCATTACAGGTTTGTTTGTTTTCTATTTGAATTAAAACCCATCACTATTTACTCCATCTGTACCATTACCATTAAAAATATATTTTTTTTTTCAAAAAATATCAAATGAAAATACAATTTAAATTATAATTCAAATCCAACCTTGATTTCAAACCAAAACCAAATAAATTCGTCAAAAATATTATTTTACTTTGGGTGCAATATTATAAATTTTAGTATAATTTTGATATTTTTTTCAAATTTTTGCACTTATTTTTTATCTGCGGGTATATTTTATAAATTATTTTTAAAATGATAAAAATAAAATAAAAATATAAAACTTTACGTAAATAACAATTTTAGGAAATCAAACTAAAAATAAGAGAAAAAAAAAAAAGGATGAAAATAAAATGCATTAAGCCTAAAATGGATATTTCATACAAAATAAAATACAATCATTAATATTCAATAAACATATAAAAGTGGTGATGAACAAATAACAACACAACATTCCTTTTTGGTCGATATATCTCTCTCTACATATACATACGTATTATATATGTGTGGCTATGGCTACATACGATAATTTATACGAAATAAAGCTCCCAAGCTTCATTTGTAAAGAATATGTATATATATATGTAAATATTTTCATGAGTATTCTTATCATATATCTTTTGAGTATGAATAATCGATAGAAACTAAGTATAAGTCGATCTTCATCTATGTACCTATACTTATAGGCAGCTCATAGGCTCGACGGCGCCGCTCGTTTTCCCTCCGGCGTTGGCGCAAGAAGCCGTCGCCGGTTTGTTTTTGTAGGTTAGATCGACCCCCTCCATCGTAATTCCACTACACGGCTTCGTCTTGCTACAATCGAATTTGACGGCAACTTGGGTAGCCGATGTCCCGTGAATGTCTTGGTAAGTAATGTCGCTTATCTTCACGCCGGATCCTTGGTGAGGGCACTCTTCGTGGTTCGGACAATAGTCTTGGTCGATGATGATAGGGTTTTGGACATTGTCGATGACGAGGTGTTGAAATAGGACATCCCTAACGAATCCATTGCTCGGCCTCGCCCATGTCTTGACCCTCACGCCGTTTTGAGTCCCTGTGAAGGTCGCCGTCTTGAGCGTCACGTTTTGCACTCCCGCTTCTTGCGAGTCCCAACCGAGACTTCCGATACTGTAAAAAGTTGCGTGCGCATTTTATGTTAGATACCGCAAATTTATCGTATGCGTAACATTTTATGCTTGAAAATATTTATTGAAAAACTATATATTTTCTCCATCCACTACTAAACTTTTTTCTTTTTGTCTCAAAATTTTTCATTTCTTTTTCTTAAAAAATTAAATTTCAACTAAATATCAAAATATTCTTACTTTTTACGGTTCAGATTACTTCCGAGGGTAAAATGGTTATTACATTACTTTATTATACTACATATCTAAAAAAATACTAATTTACCTTAATTTACGTGTAAAAGTCAAATGAAAATTTTACCACCGCACGGAGCGGAATAATATGTAATTAATAATGTATTTTTCTACAATTTAAATACTTAGGTGAAAGATGATCATTTAACAATATACTAACCTTACGCCGTGGCCGGGGCCACAAGCCAGATTTTCGATCCACAAATTGGAGGTTCCAGGGCCAATGGAAACACAATCATCCCCGGTGCCAACGCGAGAGTTCATAATAGTAACACCCGATGAATGCTCGACATGGATGCCATCCGTGTTCGGGCTGTTCCCCGAGGCCGAGATCCTCGTGCCAACAAGATTAACATTTTGGCATCCATCGATCAAAATGTGAAACATTTGGCTATTCAACGAGGTCAATCCGGTGATCACTATGTTGTCGGAGTTGTAGAAAGCCAACGACTTTAAGAAAAGAAAAGAAAAAATCGTTAGTGTTTTTTGTAAGTATTCATAAACCTTAGCGATCGCTACAAAACTTCCTTACAAGCAAATAGTATCAACACAAAAAGGCATAACTATATTTCATTATGAACTATATAACGAGTCGATCATTGTGAATCATCCTTTCCACATAAGTCAATCTCTCTAAAGTCAATAATTTTACATGCTACTTAACTTTGTTTCCACTTTTTCAATTATTCACGCTTAGAAAAAATAAATAAGTAAAAATATATTTTATAAGTTATCATCTAATTCTATAGTGAATTTTTTTTAAATCCTAAATGCGAACTCTACCCAAATAGACAATAAGTTACACCAATTTCAACATTTTCAATACTATTGAAACCCTAATTTCGGAAAAAAAAAAAAAGGGTTCGAAGAACGAATCGTACCGTGGCTCCTTTAGGGCAACTCTTCCCGGCCTCCTTACAAGCCCACAAAGCCGTCCCCCGGCCGTCTAGGGTTCCGCCACTTATCGAAACTCCAGAAACCTTCTCGAACTGCAACCACTTGCCAACTTTCCCGACAATATCGTAATCCAACGGCGCGACCAACGTGCCATCAATACGTATCATCACCGAATTACTCTTGCACGACTCCCCCGAAAAGTAGACATTGTAGAGCAAGTATCTCCCCGGCGGGACATACATTGTGGCCGGGGAGGCGGCACCACATGCGGCGTGCCATGCGCTTAAAAAGGCCTTTGTGGAGTCGGATTCGCCGTCGGGTTTAGCCCCAAATGACTGCACGTCGAAGGTCGAACCGGCGTCGAGGCTCGCCGGAGAGTGGAAGAGTGTTATTAGAATGAGAATCAGAAATGAAGAGGGAATTTTCATGGCAGCCATTTTTTTTTTTAACTGAAATTTGTTGAGAAAGTTTGTTCGATCGATGGATGTGATAAAAAGTTTTGTGGATTCGAAGGTATTTATAGAGTTGAGAGTCAACAGTACTGTGAAGGATTTGGCTGCCCAATTTGGACAAAAAATTTAAGTCCTGTTTTTGGATGGCATAACTAACATTAACTGTTCTTTTTTTAATATTTTCTGTTGTGTTAGATTTTACTTCCTTTGTCAACCAAAGGATCACAAACTGATTGCGTACCAGCTCTAATGAATATAGTGTTTTTTTATTTATTATTATTTTATATAAATTTTATTTATTTATTTTGCTTCTACTGTCTATTGGGTATATTTTTTATAAATTATTTTTAGAGTTATATATAAATGGATAAAATATAATACGTGATCCATTAACAATATATATATAAAAAATTTTGCACAGACATTAAGAAATAACAAGTATTTAAAAGGTGGTTGATGGTACTTTTATATATAAAGAGTTCTTGGCCTTTATGGTTTAATTTGATGTAAATTGGAGCATATATTTATACTCCTTCCGTCCTATAACAAAGTATTCATTTGTCTTTTGCGTCATTATACTTAACATTGAAAATATCCTTATATTTGTATAATTTTTTATACAAATGTCATTATATTAGTATTATAGGACACCAATAGAAGTATTTTGTCATTTTCTCTTTATTTGTAATATAATTTGATATAATAATTAATATTCAAATATCAACATGCAAAAAGTAAATAGATGCGTTGTTATGGGACAGAGTGAGTAATACGTATTGTGGTTGAATTTACTATTAAAAAAAAGAAAAAAATAAAATTCCTTGTTATGGGACAACGAAAATAATAAATGTATATGTTACGAACCACCAAAGGAGTATAATGAAATTTTTTAAAAAAATTTAGAATGTTTTAAGAATTGTATATAAGTTTATATATATATATATAACGTGAGAATCCGCATCCATTATCCGAAAGTACACACTGAGAAACCCGTCTGAATCTAATACCTTGCAAAATAAGTCCGACAAGGCAAGTCACACTAGGCGAACGATATGTGGGAATATATGTGGATGAATTAACGAGGTTAAAAAAAGAAGTATAATTATATAAATAAATATACAATTAAAAATTATGTATGAATTTTTTCATTGTAAGCAAAAAAAAAAAAAAAAAAAAAAAAAAAGGCGACAGAGTGAGTAATAAAATGGACATTTTTTGAAGTATGTTTTAAGACGGATTTTGTGGAGTAGATATTGGATGATAGTTAAATAAATAATTAATATATGTTGGGTATAAAAATATTAAATTAAATTGGATAATCTATTTTATTTTCCCAGTCATATGTATGTATGTTATAGTATACAATATGTAATAGTGTAATGTCGTCGTCCAGAGATTTGCAGATAAAAGTGAAGGAAACGAGGCATGAATTGAGGCTGTTCGGTTTGTTGTCCAAATTAATAATCATGGATTTATTATTAAAATGATTTTTTTTTTTTCAAATAAACTTTATTCTAAGTACAATGTTATTAAATTGTTATTTTATATTTTTTTTTTAAAAAAATCAAGATATATAATACTTTACGAAAACAAACCAGCTTCAGTACTGTTGAAATTTTTTGTGGTTTTTGCATAATAATTTTTTTTTTTTTTTTTTTGTCTTTCCATATCATTCAACAAATTTTATATATTATTTAATTGTATAATATTAATATTACATCAAGTTTACCATTATTAATTTAAAATTAATTAGTTAACAATTGAAATGATATAATTTGATCCATTCTTTATTTATATACATTCCAATCTCCCAAATTTTAATTAGGGCGTGTTCATTTATATTGTAGATATTTTTTTTCCATTTAATTTATAGTATATATTTTATTAAAATTTACTTAAAATATATAGGTATAGATCAGCTGCTGAGTAGGTTTATTCAGCATAGTATTGATTTGATCGAATCAGCACATTCTATAGGGTAAGCCTCGTATATTTATAAATATTTTAACATATTTATAATACATTTATAAATTAACATATATTATATTATAATTTAATATATGTTATTTTATAATACAAAATATGCTGAAATATGTATAAAAATGCGTTAATCATCCATACGATATATGCTAGTCACCTATAGGGTAAACTGTTTTTTTATTCCCGTAACTGGCCCCTATCATTTTAGTCCCGTAGGTGGAGTCTGTCGCAAACTAGTCTCATAAGTGAAAATTTTTCGTTGTTTTAGTTCTCCAGCGCCAGAGACGCCCGCGTAGCTCGCCGGAGGCTAGGTGTCTGCTAGGTGTCGTTGACCTGGTGGGACACTTGGCGGACACGTGGCTTTTTTTTTTCTTTTTTTTTTCATTTTTTTAATTTTTTTCAATTGGAACAATTAAAAAAATTAAAAAAGGCAAATAAAATTTTAAAAAAAAATTTAAAAATTAAAAAATGAAAAAATATATATAAAAAAATCAATGTGTCCGTCAGGTGTCGCTGACCTGGCGGGACTCGTGGCCTCCTGCGAGCCACACGGGCGTCTCCGGCGCCGGAGGACTAAAACAGCGAAAAATTTTTATTTATAGGACTAGTTTGCGACATGCTCCACTTACGAAACTAAAATCATAAGTAGATCCATTTACGTAATTAAAAAAAAAAAAAAAATTACCCTAATATATATTGATCTGGTTAATCAAAACAGTTTAAGATGGGAAGTCCAAGGATATCCAAAATAATAGTATATGATTGCAGTTGCACATGGGATGATTTATATATGTTTAGAATAAATATACTATGTGAATATAATAGGTATATATATATATATATATATATATGAATGCTTGGTTGACAAGAATTATATAAATATATTTTCTGATATTATATACTGTACTTAATTAAATTAATAGAAAATGATGAGATGAGCTGAGACGAAAGCATGCATGCATGTCTTGATGCGCAGCTTTTTTCCTTTCTAAGAAACAATTCGTTACGCAACTACCATATATTATTATTATAATTAATATTTCAAATTAGTATTAATAATACGGCGGCCGTTACAATATTAAATAGTTCTAATTCATACATGTTAATTTAGAGCCGATAAAAACAGGCACGGTCTGAAAATTCGATTTCCGTCACACAAAAAAGAAAAAAAAAAAAAAAGTCATACTTGAGCCTTTAAAAATAAATTTAAAATTTTTCGAACTGACCCGGCATGCCAATAAAATGGCCATATCTGGGCCTATGAATGTCAAGCTATACCTGGCCCGATCCAATTTGTCAAAATTAATATTTGAAATTTAATATCTTTATATATACAATAATAGGAATTTATAATTTAAATTAGATTGTCAATATTTGAACCTATCGAGTCAAATATCATTCTTATTTATAAAATTTTTTTTTCATCATGAATACAAAGCAATATTTCTTGTAATGGCAGCTGAGGTGTTTAAAGGTCGAATAGATCATAAGCAAATTCAAATCAAAGAAATTACTGCTACAAACAAGGAATCCCTAAATTAGGGCAAAATTTATATGTATATATATATATAATTTCATAAAGTAATATATGATATATTATTTGCTTTTATTTAAAGTTTGTGTTTGTTTACTTTAAAATATATATATATATATATAGTTGTTAAATACTTTTTATATGTCCATAAAATTTATATTACTATTCTTTTTCTATTGTCTATTAAATCTATTAAAATTTATGTTTATTTTATTTATAGTAAATATATCTACTATTAATTTTATTATTTATATTTTAACGAATAATAATCGATTTATTAGTATTTTTTCTATTTATCACATTATATTTTTATCAATTTTTTAATAAATTTTTATTTATATGGTTATTAGTTTGAAATTGATTTGTAATAGGGTGTTGATTTGATTTTATATTTAAATAGTAGTTTGATATGATGTTTAATTGTGAGAGAAAATAATATATTTTTATTGAAAATGGTAATAAAAATAAATATCATTGATTTGGATTTGAAATAAAAATAAAAATAAAAAAAAAAAAAAAAAGTTTGAGTAATTTTAATTTTTAACTACTCCACTTTATATTCAAATATTATTCCATGTCCAACCAAACAAGTATAATTTTGTGTACGAGGGGGTATAATTTTTTTTTTATTTATTTTTTTTTTTTTTTTTTGAAAAAAAATTGAAAGATTGAACGTAATATTAAACATATATATCAGATAGGATGTTGATTAAAATTAATCAACCACCATATTGATAAGGCTAATCAGCACATGAACAACTATTTTTCAATGCATGGTTGGAATTAAATTAGTATATATATATGTCTTGTTGATTATTATTATTATTATTATTATTATTATTATTATTATTATTATTATTATATAGTTATGTTATATTAAGAATATGTATATTTATTAAAATTAATCATAGTCTGTATTATGTGGATTATTAGTTTGTATCATCGTGTTTATATCATGCATTTATATTATATTAGTAAATACTTTGTGAAATCATAGTTTTCAATAGTAGTGTACCAGAGTCAGGAAGCTCCAATTGTGCTTTTACACAGTGGCAGAGTTAGAATTATTCCTACGAGGGGTTGAAAGTTTTGTTGAACTAATATATATATATAGAGTAAATTGTAAAAAATATCTCACACTTATACCCTATTATCACTTTTGTCCTGTATTTATCTCTTTGGCAAAATATATTTCACATGTTTACAAAAGTCGTTATTTATGTCTTATTTTCGCGCGTGAAATTCACACCACGTGCCCTTACGCGCAATCAGGCGCGGCCACGCGCGGTCAAATGATAGAAATAGCGACTTTTGAAAACATGTGGGATATATTTTGCCAGAGAGATAAATACAGAACAAAAGTGATAATGAGGTATATGTGTGGAATATTTTTTGCAATTTTCCATATATATATATATATATCATTTTGAGCAATTGATGATAAAAGAAATATTATTCAATCAATATAAAATATAAACTTAGTAAAAATTGATCTAAAT